TAGCACACTCGCCAACCATGCACATGGTCAGGGATTCGATCCTCGGCTACCGATGCACTCCTTTACCTCAATGAGCCAGTAATAAGATTGATAAAGAGGGAAGGTTGGGCGTGAGACTGGCTAGCAACCCCATCCTGTAAAAATAAACACTGCTACAGAAACTTCAAGTCACTAGCTTGAAGCCCTATGTTCGTTCCACTTGGAACGTGAAGGAAAAGAAAACACTGCAAAGCATAGTGATGGTGAGTCACCTGGTGACATCGCACACTTGACTGATAGAATTCAGTTAACAATTAGAGCAGTCCATGTTAGTAGTAGTACTAGCCATGAAAAGATGGAGGAAACCATTGACAGTAGGTAGTTCTTTGCATGATTGTGTTTTTCTAACAAGTATACACACTGCATAATTAAATTCGCTAGTGTGAATTATTCCCTATAAGTATTCGTTTGTATTGGCCTTAAACTGACATGTACTCTCGCTTGTCTCATTTTCTCGTGTTTGTTTACCCAAAGTGATAATAAAATAATAGAATTACAGTTAGACTAGTCAGTTGTTGTCTGTTACTGTACTAGTACACATATACACACATCTACACACGTAAACTGTGAACACACAAGGATTAAAGACAAAATAAAGGCCGACTTAAACAAACCTTAAACTAATTCACTTACAAATCTCACTAACCTTAAGTTAATTACAAGTTACATACATATAGATAAATAGCAGGTTATAAGTTAACTCTTATCATGCTGCTTTCTCCTATGTGATATTACTGTTTACGGACGATCGATACAAAAAGTTGGTACTGTATGAAAGATATAAAATTAAATCTAGTCATTTCAAACTGGGAAAAAAATTGAGGGAAACCAACAGCATCATAATATTATCTTAGTTGTACTAACTTGTCATTTCATGGTCAACATGTGAGTACTAACAGTAGCATAATTTATTTAGATTATGGGATGATTTGTGAGGGTTTGGATTAATTTTAATGGTTAGATTTTCTTCACGAACCAACGACACATAAGTTGGAGAAAGATCACTGAAAACCATCAGGGAGCACTGGACAGCTGTTTCGACTTTTTCGGGGAGCGGGGGGAGCGACTTCTCAGCACTGAGAACTCACGACTCCCACCACTAAGGGGTCGAACCCGCAACCTTTAAAGTTACGATACCAAAGCTCGTTGACCATTCGGTCACTTGGATTTGAATTCTCTCTAACTGATTTTGTCTAGTAACGAAAATCTAACAATATGAGTTATATTTGTATTTACGTTGCTATGCTGCAACTGACTACAGAGAATAAACAGTTGGCTAAGTAAACAAAAGCAAATTAGAAGCCAACGAAACACGACAGAATAATAATAATAAAGTACTGTAAAAGTAAACATTCGTGTTATGAATAAATAACACTGATGAAATGAACTTTATTAAGGATGCTGAGGACCTAACTGTTTCAATGCATTTTAACTCCCAGCTAGACTGTACTAAGATGAACAGGTTTCTACCAGGAGTCACGAAATGGTCTTTGGCTAATGGTCTTAAACTAAATCCTTCCAAATATCAGACTGTTAATTTCAGTTTCCGCTGTAAAAGAAAGTTAAGTGAAGCCTTTAATTCCTGTGATCATTATAGAACTGACGATAATGACATAGAAATCAAGTCTCACATTAAATATCTTGGACTAGTTCTTTCTCCTGATCTATCTTGGTCTTCCCATTGTGGTGAGAGCAGGCTGCTAGCCGATTGGTTGGCACTAATCTACGTTAAGGTCTAGGTCACTAATATGGGCCGTGAGAAAATATGAACAAGCCTGAGTCAACAACCAATCACAGCAAAGTTAACGTGGCAAAATATGATTCGCAGAGAGAACTCTATTTGTCAAGGAATCCCGAAACAACCAATCAGAAGCCTGCGTTTGTCTACCTAAACAACCAATCAGATGACTGCGCTTGTCTATAATAATGTAGTTGAAAGATGTATAAATACGTGTTGATTTTCATAATAAAACGATCTGTTGCCTGGCCCTTGTCTTCTGTTGTTACATTTGGTGTCGCTGCCTACCGATAAATGAAAAGCCTATACCCTGCAGTTTTTGATGGAGACATATGGATCTTCGGGCAGGACTTCAAGGCTTCTGCGCAGTTGAGTGGCGTTCAAGATCTGTCAGCGATGGAGCTGCTACTTGAGACGCTGCTGGGAGGTCGGGCGAAAGCAGCATATGTAGGTGTGGGCCGAAGTATGGACGAATGTTCGACAGGGTCAGGCAAACAGTTTCCAAAGTGGGAAGGACCATATATGGTCACTTCGAGATGGGGTTACGCAGACACAGTCGCAATGGCGAACAATGAGAGGCGCGTGAACGTCAGCGAGCTCCAGAAATGGATACAGCGAGACAAGCCAACGATGACGCCTGCACCAAGTAGATCAAGCCGACTTCAGTCGCACGTATTTGACGGGGGGACGAGTGTGGTGAGAGCAGGCTGCTAGCCGATTGGTTGGCACTAATCTACGTTAAGGTCTAGGTCACTAATATGGGCCGTGAGAAAATATGAACAAGCCTGAGTCAACAACCAATCACAGCAAAGTTAACGTGGCAAAATATGATTCGCAGAGAGAACTCTATTTGTCAAGGAATCCCGAAACAACCAATCAGAAGCCTGCGTTTGTCTACCTAAACAACCAATCAGATGACTGCGCTTGTCTATAATAATGTAGTTGAAAGATGTATAAATACGTGTTGATTTTCATAATAAAAGGATCTGTTGCCTGGCCCTTGTCTTCTGTTGTTACACCATGTCTTAACGATTTCTAAATAAACATTCCGTTTGACTTTTGGATTAGGAAGTTAAGACATTTAGGCATAACTCAACCCCTCCTCTAACAGTTCGTCCACTCTTGCATCTTACCTCTTCTTCTGTATTGTTCACCCTTATTCCTTCCCGGGATGCTTAAAAAAGACGTCATACTTCGTATAATTCTGAAGACTGTCAGTAGAGCGAGTGGTATCCCGGTGGGCCTTACGTTGACATCGTCATTCATAGGCTCTTGGTTTCATGCAACAAATTCGCAAGCAAATGAAGAGATGCAGTTGAAGCCCTATGTTCCACTAGGAACCCAAGGGAACAATAATAAAAATAATAACATGCTAAAATTTCCAAACTGCATCGACAATACTGTTTGAAACAAACCCATCGTTATTATTACAGTTATTATTCTCATTTTGTACCTTTCCCATTTTTGACTTTATTCCTACTGTAAGTGTTGACAAATTCCTGTACTTAATTTTATTTATATTTGAAGTAAATCAAATGCAATATTGTGAGAAATGCTGAGAGTTCTATTCTGTATTATAAGTACTGTTTTTGGATTAAAGCAGATCAGTATTATTATTATTATTGTAACATGATAATCCTCTATTACTAAAATTTGACTTGATAAGTATATATATATATATGATCGCAAGGTTATCTGACAGGTGCTTTCTAAAAATAACAGGAATTAGAAAAACAAAGTCCCGAAAAGGTGTATGTAATACTGCGTCATTATACGCAAAAGAAGTTGACTACTACTTGATAGACATTGTTAATTTTGACTGAATTTATTCTCACAATGATTGTCTATGACAGTGTAAGAAATAATCCGATGTGTACACGCTGAAGCGAATTTGACAAACATTCACACAAACATGCCAGAAGAAAACGAGGATGCAGGTTTCGTTCACTCCTCGACTCTTTTCACAGCAGAATGCGCCTACACAGCTGTGAGTGAAAAGTGCGTGTCTTGCACTATACCCTACACGGGTAATTATAATCAACGAGGAATAACCTCAAGTTAACTTGATTGTAGTGTACTGGATTTGAGGTAGGCCATGGGGAGCGAGAAGACGAGAGGTCATTGGACCGACTAGAAGATTTCGACTTCATGGATAATTTATGTCTAATGTCACACAAAGTCAGCGATCTACAGGCAAAATCTAACAAAGTGACAGAAGAAGAAATGAAGGCAGTATTTTTCAAGAGAAGACAGAGGTGATAGAAATACCTAACTAACAACAACAACAACAACAACAAGTACGGATCATTGTCAACGGAAGAAATTTGAACAGGGGTCACTTCTCTCACTTAAGTGGGCAACTACAAGAGGCCCGGATAAGGAGGTCAAAGGCAGAATCAGGAAGACAAGATACACTTTCACTAATCAGAAACCAATGTGGAAATCTGCTGCACGCACTCAACATAAAGAACACGATTCGGACTTTCAACATCAATGTTAAGTCAGCTCTTCTGTTTAGGTCAGAGACTTGTTACACATGACGAAAAGCAATTCCCAGTAGGCCTTAAACTTTTACCAACAGCTTTTGTCTCTCCATACTGAAGATCAAATGACCGGTCATAAAGGATTAGCTGCGGTGAGGAATGCTCGTATGCGGGAAACCAATCAATTACAGATTGTGCAACAAAAATGCCTAGGGAAATGGAGATGAATTAGACAAATAATGAGGCCGTTGAGTGACATCTCACGTCAGTTAGGCCGTCGACTGGAACCTGAATGTGTAAGGACGATTTCTGTGTAGCTCCGAGGGTGACGTGGAGGAGTAGATAAGAACTTATGAACAATTGTGGAACCAGCCAAAGAGGATTGCAGAGAACAGAAGAAGGCGGTGATGTGCTGTTAAAGCCCTATATTACACTCGGAAACTAAGGAAATAATAATAACAATAGTAATAATAATATACAATCTCAAGGCGTCCTTGTCAAAGTGTCCATACCACAGGTCCACTGGGCATTTCAATCCTGTAAAATTAGTCAAGGTGAAAATTTCAAAATATTTTCACAATAAACGCAAATAAGACAGCTACTATATTTTGTATAAACTAAGTTTTCTAAGAGTGTATATTCAGGATTCAGGAGAAACAACAAAGCAGAGAAAACAATAATAATAATAATGAATATGGTGATGATGACAAACAACAATGCCAATTATCGGTGCTACTTACATTTGACTCTGAAATTATATCAAATTTAATATCTTCAAACAATTTATCCGTTTCATCATTATCATCAGTAGTCTGAGGTTTCTCTTTTTCAGGCTGCTGTTGTTGTTGTAACTGAATATTACTATGTGAGCCTTTTCCAATTTGTGATGATTTTGTGAAGTAATTTTTATTGGTTGTGAACAGCTTTTTTGGCGATTCAAGTGTTTTAACCTTTTGACCCTGATTCTGTGGTTGTACTTGTGCTTGGTGTTGTTGCTGTTGTAGACTGCTCAAATCTTTTACTGATAATGATTCTGTCTCCAATGGAATTGTTTTAATCACCTCTGGATGGTTTTTATTATTATACGCAGGATTCTTGAAAAGAAAAGAGAGAATATTCAAAAAAAAAGAAAATGAAATCCTGTTACCAATCCATCAAATCTCAACAAACAAATGTTTGAATATCAATGAGATGCTCATTAACGACTGGCCCTATACAGGTCAGTAGTTACCTAGGGTTCTAGTGTGAAATCGTGACCAGTAGAGTACAGCAGGTAGCGCGTGAGGACAAATACTCACCAGAGACATTGACTAGTGGTCGTGATACATCGTGAATTCGCGGAAGTTGTAATTCATGGGCCGTTGGATAGGGCTCCATTGACATACTGATCTACGAGTCTACCTCGTAACCAAAAGGTTCAGAGATAAAACCCCGGCGGGTGCGTGCTACTGAAGTCCAAAAACAGGACGAAACAGCTATCCAGTGCTCCCTGCAGATTTGCAAATGGTTTTCTTGCCGATGTCAGCTCATGATGAAACCCTGTAACCAAAGAAAGTAAAGTTGTCATGCATGTAATGGCACGATAGTAGTTCTTTAACTTATATTTGATTACGAATTTTCTGGCAGGATTTCACCATGAGCTGACATCGGTTACAGAAACATCGAAAAATCAGCAGTGGTGTACTGGCCAGCTGTCTCGTCCAGATTCGGGATTCTTCATCCGTACGCACCCACCAAAAAAGTTTGAACCCAGGACCTTTCGGTTCTGCCGCTTATCATTCCTTTATGTGTAAATTTTGTTTTGATAAAGTCTCAAACTGTTATGCAGTAATGTTTACTGATGACGTTTCGAGCACAATTTATTACCACTCATAATCAAATCAAAGTAATCACACGGCTTACTAACTTCATCTATACAGTTCCATTATTTCTCACTTGATTTGATTGGTGATAGTATTTTCCCTAATTCGGGTATGAGTGATGAGTCATTCCTATTGCATGTGTTGGGTGTAGATTGTCAATGAACAAGGATTCAGTAATCAGTAGTTCTCTCCCTCCACCTACTTCTTATAATATAAACCCACTCCCACCCTATTGTGTGGTTGTGTGTTAATGCATGCATTGCAATGCAGTGCTGAGTTTTTTTCTAAATTACTTATCTTCTCGGGGTCAGCCATTCTTAGCCTAGCTAAATTCTTATGTTTTGACAATCTGACTACGCCTGACCTACTACCTACTAGTTTGACCTATGTAGTCGACCTTACTCACAGTGATTGCAGGGTATTTTGTAAGTTATATTATTTTGTCTAATTGGGTCAGTGAGTCGGTGGAACAGCGGTTAGCGCACTCGCCGACCATGCACATGGTCCGGAGTTTGATCCCCGGATCCTTTACTTCGCTAAGCCAGTAGTGAGACTGGTAAAGAGGGAATGTTGGGCATGAGACTGGCTAGAAACCTCATCCTGTAAAAATTAACACCGCTACAGAAACTTCAAGCTTCTAGCTTGGAGCCCTATGTTCCACTTGGAACATGAAAGAAAAAAATAGGGTCAACTGGGTCCTTTAACCTACAGAGCTTGTCCTACCTGAGTGAGTTTTCAGGTTTAAATGCCACCGTAATTCCTGCTTTATTTAGAATCCTACGTAGGGTCTCAGATGTCCCCTCTTCATATGGTATAACTGTAGATGACTTATATTCTCTCTTATTTATATTATCATTACTAGTTTCACAATTATTTTTATTTTGTTTTTGGCCTTTAATGATCTTCCTAATGAATTGTATAGGATAGTTATTCAACACCAACGCTTCTTCTATCTGTTTTATTTCATCATTTAGATCCGTTTTTTGAGCTACTTAGTGCTATGGCTCGGTTCGTTAAACACTTAACTAAGTCTGCCTTAACAGTCAACGGATGAGATGAATTAAAGTCTAAATATCTATTAGAATGAGTTGGTTTTCTATAAACACTAGTGTGTAGTTTGCCTTCTTCTATTCGTTTTATCTCACAATCTAACATAACTAATTCTCCTTGTTCATTTTCCGGCTCAAATGTGAATTTTATTCCCTCTACTTATGAGTTTATGTGTGTGAAGAAGCTAGAGATATGTTCTGTTTTTAACACTGTGAAAGTGTCATCCACATATCTCCATCATATTTTTGGAGTAGGGTTAAACGTATTAAGAGAACTACTTTCCCAGCTGTTCATAAATATATCTGCCACTTATCAACCTAGACAGACAGCTTGGTAGTTATATGTGTAGTATTTATGTTGACAATTGAACTCAGCAAGAATTTCATTGAAACTAATCAATAAACAGTAGTAATGTCATTATCACAGGATAATTAAGGATTGCAGGGTGAGAAGAAAAAAAGTCAATCATAACAATGAGACAGAAAAAAGTAACATGTATACCTTATTATACATTATTTGTACAAGTTCGTTTATTGACAGGCGAAATAATAAGTGTGCAGTGAGTAATTCTAATCTAATGACATACTCTGATCAAGTTTTGTAATTCAGCTATCCAGTACGATTTTTTCAAGGGGCAGATAATAAGACAAGCATACACTGTAATGAGAACTGGTGTCATACTACACACACAGTTGCGTTCAACTGCAATGGAGTAATGAAATGCGGTTTGAAAAACAAAGGCAAAATGTCTGATAGTACAGTAAATGAGTGAGTTATGATCAAAGTGATCTATGTCCAGCCAAGGATCCACCTCAAAGACGCCAATCATTTATTTTTTCCTCAAGAAATTGTCATCTACTGCTAAAATGGTTACATTTCTCTTGATTCATAAAAATACTTTTCCACCCGCATAAAATTATATACAACAGATATATAATTTTCAAGAAGTGGTTTACAAGGATTTGACTGATTTCAATTTTGACCACGAATAGACTTCAGTTAGAGAACCACTGAAATCCAGAGGGTACTGGGACAGTTGTTTTCCTCCTTGATCTTGGTACTCTGCAGCAGTACGCACCGGTGAAGCCAATTTGTGATCACTGAAAAGTGGAGAGCACTAGACAACAATTTCTCCTCTCTGCATCCAATCGTTTTGACACTAATTGGCAGTTCTTGTAGCACCGATTTCAAATTAGTTCAATACTTAAGTGAATAATAGCTGTGTACTGCAGAAAGCATCTCAGCTAGGACGAAACAACTGTTCAGTGTAACTCTGGGCTACTGAGGGTTCTGTAACTAATACTGGCTTGTGAATGCCCGCAAAACACCACCACTTTGAAACATCTGGTTCTCTAATTACCCTGTAACTCAGTGTAATCTAGGCAGTAAACTTCTAATTTAATTTTCAGTTTTATTTCTCTTCATTCCCAGTCGAACATAGGGCTTCAAGTTCCGAGCTTTTGAGGTTTCAGTACCAATGGTGTTATTCTTTTTCTTTTTACAGAGTTGGGTTGCTAGCCTCAATTCCAATTTTCCCTACCTTCTCTCCCGGTCTTACTACAGGCCGCCGGGTGTCGGTAGGAATTTGAAAAACGGACTACGTGAGGCTTGGTTGGAGAGCACAATACTACTGAACCCCTAACACAATAAGTGTATCTGATATCTTGGAGGAAATTATACCCCTTCTGGCACCCGAATCTGGGTCACCCAGTGCCGTAGTTAGAGGCGTTGCCAATCAGCTATTCGGCATCAAGTTATTTGTTTATCATTTGCTTAATTATCTGACAATTCGGTGGGTGGCAATGATTACCAGTGGAATCTACAGTGTACATTCAGTCAGTATATTTGAGACTTGTCGGCCGGATGTACCTGCAATCTCCAGTGACTGATGGTGTCCTCATCGAGGCTCGAACTGACTACCCTTCGTTTCAAATGCCATAGCGTTATCCTACTAGACCACTTGAACCACTACTAGAGTTTAAGGCTAAAATAATAATGCCCCCACCCGAAGATTGAGCTGCACAGTCTAGAGTGCACACGTATACAAGATTACTGGAATGCACGTGAGTGTAAAGCAGCAAATCACATTAATAAAAACTGTGCAACCACTAAATATGTTTGTGTAAAAATAAAGGAAGAAAATGTTTAAGAAAATACTACTGAAATATCCTCCAGTAAGGAAACGAAAGCAGACAGGCAAGTGTTATTAAGAGTAAGTCTTTGTCAAAGTCTGTAACCTAACTACCAGGAAAGACACAGAAAAAAAAAAGACAGAATTCTGCGGTCAAAAATTGTAGAATGATATAAAACAAAATATATATGCCAAAGTGAACGAAAAAAATAAGATGTAGAAGAAGTGAGGGTGGGAATACGTTCTTTGAACTGACACTGGCTTAATGACTTATCAGAATGAATGCACGAGCTACGCCACTAAGTCAGAACACCAGCAACCAGTCAGTCAGTCAGATAGACAGGTAAGTTCAGACTACTGGACTGGTCTTTACAAAATTCCAAACCAAATTCACATTTTTTTCTTCCTTATCTTGGGAAAAGGCAGAAAAGAGACAGAAGAAACACACAAAAAAATGAGACAGAATAATATTAAAATAAATAAACAAGAGGGGAATGTGAATAACAAAATTATTTATTTGTTACTTTATTCCTTTACTTTCCAAGTGGAACATATGGCCTCAAACTAGAGCTTTGAAGTTTCAGCAACACTGGCGTTTCTTATGGGGTGGGTTTGCTAGGTTTAACGTCCAACCTTCTCTCTTCACCGGGCTTACTACTGGGCTTAGTGAGGTTCAGGAGTTCACCAGGCAGAGATCCCACCCTGCAGACCACGTTCGTGGTTGACGAGCGTCTTACTGCTGAACCACCAGCGCACATGTAAATAACAAAATGAAATCAGAGAATACAAGAAGTTAATATTAACTGATGGCAATGACTGAAAATGAAGTGTGATATCCCGGGCAGACTAATGCCACCAACCTGACTACTACTAACTAGCCCATCGATCCAGCAGCTGTGCATCGGTGGCACAGTGGTTAGGACTCTCGCCGACCATGCACATGGTCCGAGGTTCGACCCCCGGCAGACTCACACCTGATATCTATGGTCAGCCTGCAAAATTTGGGCTACCGATATCCATGCTGAAAATTACATACTTGTACCAAAAGTAC